CAGGTAAATCAATAAAGTTTATATATATATATAACAATGACTATATATTAACAATATTTTGATTTCGGAGAGTCATTCTACACAACCCCCTTTACTTTCCCTCCACCTCTTTTCGCCCCCTCAGCCAAATGAGGTAAAATTCTATTAATTTTTACCTTATTTTGATTGGGTTGAATTTTTGTTTAGCCCCTCTGCTCCCCTTAGCCCCCCTCCCAATTTTATAACCCAATGACAGTATAACTTAACGTAATTTTGTTTAGCCCACCCTCCGCCCCTTTTCCTTCTAGCCACTCCTAATTTTATAATCCAAGAGCAGTATATCCCAAAATAAAGCTTTCCGCAGCGCTCTTTAGAAACTTATAGATTGGAATGTGTAAAACTTATAATCGACGTAAGATGATGAGATATAAAAAATGTAAAGCAGCAGAAGAGCACAGTATTTCGTAAGGATTCCTTTAGGGACTTTCCGCCTCAGATTTAAAGTTGCCTTGAGAATTATGTACTTTTAGGAACCCTGCTAAAAAGGCACGAAAAATCCGCCTGGATCGATTTGGATACGTACCTGAAAATAGATTGAAATCTGTTTAGAGTAACGTAAGCATCAAGATAGAAAGCGCTCAAGCACGTCTCGACTGTTGTGAACTAAGATTAATGTTGATTTGTTAAAAGTATAAAATTTACTTAGATCGATGTGTGAATAAAGTTTGAATGCATTTCAGGCCTACTTATGTATTTGTAAAAATTCAACTGGAAATAGCTGAAAAGCCGCCTAGGTAAATGTGGAAATCACCTGGTATTGACATGAAAATCCATCTAAATAGGGCTGAAAATCTACCCAGAAGACCGTGCAAATTATCCTAAAAAGTTTTCACAATCCATTTGGACTTACTGTTAATTAGTGTACTTACACCTAAAAATTAATAGTCTAGCTGGAATTCCGGCTGAGAATTTTACACGTACGGGTCATCAATTCCTTTCCGGACTTCACGTATAGAGACGTCAATGACGAAGCGTTACTTACAAGACCATAAACCTGATTTTAAGATTAGTGTCACAACTGTAGTCATGGTAGAAAAAAATCAACAATTAACTGAGCTTTTATTAAAAGTGTTACGTAGTATCAGTACTATCAAAGTTTCATTGATTAGTAATATGTTGAAAAGAAACGTTTTATGTCGAAAAATATTAAGATTCGTTTGAAATGTATTATACATTACAGACAATCATTCAAAACTAGTATATGTCATTTAAATAAGTTTATTTGCAATAAAATACGTTGTCTGATGAACAATACTTGATAGTTTAATTCTAACTATTATCCAAATAAAATTCGTATGCATCGTGAAAGTAATTATATAAAAAAGTTGATAATCTATCATATTTCTACAAAATTTCAGATAGTCCTAATTATTTATAAAGAATTAAGAAAAGTTTTAAACAGTAACAAGTAATTTCAAAAATTTTTAAACAAAAATCGCCAAATCGTAACAGTGATTGTTTAGCATTGTTAATTTCTATTTTTAATGTTCGAAAACTTTTTAACACTTTTTAGTTTAAGTACAGAGTATTGACCATTATTGGAAATTGTCAAACATTTTTTTTAATTTAAATATTATCATACTCTGTCTACAATAACTAGCCTAAGGGGAGCAACAATGGTCTTTAATCCTGTATTGATACTCATAAGTGCGAATGCAAATGCTTATCATATTTTTATTTTTTCCTTTGTATTAATTTCTGATTCACCATGCTTCAGGCTGTGTAAATTTTTAACCAACTTTTAATTTTTTATTTGTTTACAGCTACTAAAATAAATTAAACAATCTTACAAAAATCCTAGTGTTAAAGTAATCTGTTTTAACCACTTATTTAATGTTTGTTCAGATAGTTGACACTTAATTAAAGAGTTTTCAACCATATTACATGCTTTTGGCGATGGAAAATGTAATGCTCTTGCAAATATTTACAAAAGTAGAAGAAAAGCAACAAAGAAAAACATACAACAAATATATCTTAGTCATTAAAACAACAGTCTATTAATAAATGAAAGTAAGTTTATTGGATCATTAGAATATTGTTTTTACTAATTGCAGTATTTAAAAAAAAAAGTAAAAAAGCTTAAATCTTTAAAAATATCAAAATTCACCTAAAAAGTTCTATATTTTACTGTAACAACTTATTTTTATAAAGCTGATTGCACCTATTTCATTTTTGGTTTAAAGTTCTTTAACCATTTTGTTACCCAATATCCATACGTTTAAACATTTAAATACAGAATAAATTTTTTTTCAACAGTTTTTCTTTAAACTGCTATCATATTGTAATTCTATGACTGAGTACGATGAAAACTTATTCCGTGCCTTATGAAATACGAAACTACTTCTAGATAGAAATAAACTTCCGATACTTATGCAAATTTGTTTTTTTTTAAATAATTGTGATCTTCGTCGTAGTGTGTCTGTTTTTCATACAACTTTTATGATATACCAAGTATCTTGTTATATATTTATACTATGAAGTTCCTCTCTATAAGTACAATCCCAGTAAGTTGTTGTTAATCGAAATTTACAACATTTTTTTTTCATACCAAGGGAACTACCAAATCACGATCCGACACATAGTAAATGTCTGTAACTACATGTTGAAGAGTGGGTAATTTTATTAGATGATTTCAAAATAATGAGGAAATTATTAAAGTTGCTTTGTCACAGTTCAAATTACTTGTTAAACAAATAATCTACTAACTCCTGTAATATCTAGAAGGATTATTTTTATATTATTTCTTTGCTGATTTTTGTTACAAAATAAATAAAGATCTTCTTTTTTGTTTTTATTATAGCCAAAACATTTTATGAATTTCAAATAAGAAATTTTAATGTTACTTTTGGTAAAAATGAAATTCTTATCAAATAAAAATTAGATTTTTAAATAGATAAATTTCTAAACTTAACGCAGTCAAGAGGCTTAAGTAGACTGTATGTGTAAAAAGAGGGCGCCAGATGAGCCGAGCTACTCGTTTCAAGTCATAGATCAGGATATGGGGAAAGTAACAAGAAACACTTAATTTTTTAATATTGCAATAATCTACACTTTAATTAATGTAATCATTAATACATAGGTTCAGCAATGCGTCTGAACATCAGCATAGCAATGACTTACGCAAGTACGTGTCTTTCTCTATTAAAGATTAGCATACTTAAAAATTATGCTAATCTTTATCGGTACTAGATTTATTTAGCTTTATACTGAGTATTACATGAAGGAAACTGTTTTTTCGATTACTATATCAGTAACTTGTGTTTCTGGAGATTTTTTACGTTATCATTAAATTGCCAATTATTTTATTTAGTATAATTTAAAAACTTAAGAAACCCAAGTCTGTTTAAATTTCGAGCGTGAACATCAAAATAAACTTTTGATCCTAACTTTAATTTTCATACTCAAACTACGAATAATTTTGTCTAGAGGCCGAGATAATTTTAAAATTTTCCACATTTTAACTCTTTTCTACTGATATGTAATAATACTTTAAGGTAAATTATTAAGTATTAAGCTATAAGCACAGCCACGAAGCGTTAATAAGGATCTGATACCTATCAAAAAGAGGTAATTTTGGATTAGGTCGTTCTCGAGGCCCTTAGGTATCTAGAGCACAGCTCAAGTAATCGACTTGAGTGCTTCACCAGAGGAATGCCGTCGCTATCCTTCGTCCCTCGAATACTTAAAGGTTCGTCGTCCTCACGATAAAAGCTATCGACCACTGACAGTCTAAGTATGTGTTGGTTAGTCATACGATATAGGTGTATTTATATTTACATTTACTGTAATGGCCTTCGTGCCCTTTCTCTTGTCCTTTTGACGTGTACGAGTTGCGGTTTTCGTACCGGTACACGCAAGAGAGTCCAGATCTAGGTAGGCAATAGATTTCTGTGACCCAGGCTCGCTGGAGAACAAAATTTTTCCTTCCTCGTCAGTGCCTTTTATAGGTGCTTGGTAGATAATTTTTCGCCGTAATCTACGTTATCTCTCTGCGCACTATCGATCCTACGTATTTGCTAATAATCCTTGTGCATGGATTATCTAGCGTCCTGGGCGTGATTGACAATGCATGTTTTTTGATTAGTGCGAATTCTTTAATGTAAATGTGACGAATTTTTTCTGATTTTTATTAACTATTTCTAAGTACAAAAATGAGTAACATAGGAACAAATTTTAATATGAATAAAAAGCGTAGTCTATAAGTCTTTCTATGACAAAGAATTGCAATTGATGCCTCAATTATCTTTTATTTATGTCAGTTGTAATATTCCCACTAAGTGCAATCTGAGATAAGTCAAAATTTCAAATCACAGGTAAATCAATAAAGTTTATACATTGCTCTTCATTTTTAAAACTCATAGTGTCATTTATAAATATAATTTATAAAAAAGATCATGTAAATACCAGTTTATCTGCAAATGCATGTATTAACGAAAAATGGCTTGCTGCCTACGATATTTTTAAACTGTTCAATTTATTTAAAAAAGTTAGATTGAATTTAAGTCTTGTTCAGCAGATCATTAGTTAAATTAATTAATGGTTGTGTAGTCTCCAAGTTAAAAGTACTTATTTTTCAGCTGCAAGTGAAACTGAATCTCTCAAGCCAGAGTACCAAAAACTATTAGACTCATACGGATGTCTAGGAGTGCTACCATTTCACCATGAAGATAATAATTTTTTGTACCTCATCGTTGTTACAGGATGCCACTCGATTGGTAAAATTTATGATTCTGAAATATTCAGGATAACTCAAGTCAATGTCATTCCTTTGTCTTTCACTGAGTTTAATTGTGAAGATCGCATCTCAGAGGTTCGAAAAGTTTTGAACTCTGGCACCTTTTATTTTTCATGGTCGTCTTCACCTAATTACTCTTTAGATGTAACGCTTAGCGTTCAAACAAGATTCAATTCAAATGCTACAGATAATAGATATTTTTGGTAAGTAAAAGTTTTATAATCAAAATCAAAACTGTCTATACAAAATAGTATTAAATGTTAAATTTATAAACTTGTTCGTCATTTTGTATTATTAAGTACATAAAAAAAATTTTTTCAATTTTTTTTATATTGCATGATTAACGATTAATTCCCACTCAATAAACTTATGAATGCAAATACTCATACATGTGTAATAATCAATGAATTAAAGTATAATAATCAATGAATCAAGACCTTACATACGTTAAGTACTTAATAATGTTTGCTACAACAGAGTACCATTTAATATTAAACAAACAAATAATAAAAAAAACACTATGCTTGCAACAGTTTATTGTAATTACACTTAGCTTACACTGTGACAAGTAAAATTTTATGCCATCAGTGGTAGTGGTCATGATAACTATTGCACATAAAAATTACACCACTTTCTGTTATTCTTTCTACAAAAGGAATTTTCGATCCATTGTCGCTCGTTTGGCATACGATGGCTCCTTTAAAAGGAAATGAGAGAACGGAGAAAAATTAATGCCACATAAAAGAAAATGTAAACTAAGCACTATACGTTTAACGCCTTGAGCCACTATTGATTTATTTTATCACATTACACTTGAACTAGATTATCGACACAGTATCCGAATTACTCTCCTTTCTGCAATAGTTTTCTCTCTCTTTCCCTCTTATGCACATTTACCTGACGTTTTATTTTTTCTTGAAATCTTTTACTCTCTCTCCTCTCTCTCTATCTCTCTCGGTAAGCTACCTTGGCACTGCAAGTGGTTCCTCGAAACACTAGTGTCAGTGACAAACCATGAAAACTAGTGACGATGGCGACTTTTCTCTCACGTAACGGTCTTCTGGTTATCCCCAGGAGTGGCAGCTTCTCGTCTCTCGTGCACCTACTGGCTTTCGCTCAGGTACACGTCTCTCATGCATACACATATATTTGCTTACACACATACTTACCCATGTATATTGTAACAATGCAAAAATTGCCTCCACTCCCCGAAACGATCTCGCTGATACAATTTATATGTGTAGGGTAAACATTTCAAGCTCCGATTTCGTTTGTTTTTTGGGAGCTGTATATACGCTGAGAGGAGGAAGACACAACTCTAACAGACTTTTAGCTCAACCGCAGAGAGAAAGCAGCGCTGATGGAAGATGAAAAAAAAATTCATACGAGGCGACCTGCATAAACAGTAGCTGCTGTGTCGAAAGTGACGGTGAAAAGAAATACGTTAAAACTGAAGCGGTGGTGGTTAGGGCTAAAACGAGAGCTTGCTTTGGAAGTTAGTCTTGAGCTGAGCGCCTGAGTGCAAGCAGCGAGAGTTCCACTGATTTTTGCGACTTGGTTTAGGGTGTGTGTTAGAGAAGAGATCGAAAGAGAAGAATAGTTGATAGAATTTTCGAGAATGCGCGTAGAGTGTTAAGAAAGGCAGGGAGAGAGAAAGAGGAAGAAGTGTGAGCGCAAGTCCCACAGCTCCTGTGTTCTTCCAAGATGAGATCTCCAGATCGAGAATGATGGAAGTGGCTAGGGCAAGCAGAAGAGGGTAAGAGAGTGAGCGAGAAAGAGCAAAACCGTACAATCAACCAGCTTGAGAACCCTGAACGTGATTACGCTGGTAACTCACTGACATTTGACCAGGTGGTGAGGCTAGCTAGAGACAGAGAGAGGCAGTGTCTTGAGACGAGACGAGGAGGTTGCAACGTTCATTCTCAAGAGTGCTGCCATTAGCGTTTGCATGTATCGTGTCTGTATGTATGAGTAAGAGCTGAGAGAAGAGATAGATGGGTGGACAAAGGAGAGAGAGGCAGTGAGAGAATAGGACGACGGGAACAAAATCAAGGATGATAGAGAAGGAGATAGATAGAGAAAGAGAGAGTGGCGTAGATAAAGAGAAAGAAAAATGGAGTGGCGCAGACAAAAAAAGAGGAGAGGTTATCATCAGCGAAGAGTAGTGTTAGATTGTGGACAGAGTGTGAATGTGCGTATGTTTAAGAAGAACGAGGACAGGCTATTAAGCAAAAATCTTTCCAGATACAGGACATGGAGGACATGCGCTTGTGGCAAGCGTGGTGCAAGTTGAGTGCCAACAGTACCGTGTGAGTGACGTATTATGTAACTAGCGCCCCTGGCTTCGCCCGAGACTCGCTAAGTAGAACACCGTAGTGTGTTGACATGTAATGTAAAACGTTTTTAGTGAAATGTTTAACATTTATTTCTGACACTTCTCAGAACAAAAATTTTCTTATTAAAAACATGTTTGTTTAGAATCCATGCAGTTTATTTGTTCAATTACTAAGGTGTAAGAAAATGAAAAGAATATAATTATGCTAAAAAGTACCGTGCGTTCCTTATGCCATAAAATAACCGTTGATCCTGAGGGGCCATTGGTTTGTAGTTTCTTTCTGTAGTATAATCTATAAACAGGAATATTTTGTAAAGCTGTATAGATTTAAAACTCAGAAATAATATATCATTTTAAAAAATTTGGTTGTCTTATCTCACAACTTAATTACCACAGCAACAAAGTCCTCAAGCTTAATTTCTACATTTTTTTATCGCCAAAAAAATACAAATACATATTTTACCTATTTAAAAATCTGGAAGACTCAAGAGATAACTATGAAAGTTATACTGAAAGGCTGATCTCTCATTTAATAAATTATTTATTTAATGCTGCTTTAATCTTGATGAATGTTTAGCTTTATTTTCTTGATGCCTAAAATTGTTTTCATTAGATGCATTTGGAGTTTTCCTTCCAATTCGACTTCTTGTTACTTATAGGATATTTTTCTCAACTTTATTAGGTTATATATTTGTTAGAATCTAGTTCAACGTCTGATGACCCTGAAAAGGGCCAGTGAACGTCTTAAGTAAACTCTTTTTTGACTAAAGTTTCCAGCAAACGTAATTGCCTTTATACCTCAGGGTGATCTTCTCTGGCCTGTTATTGTAGCACCAAACTAATAGGGAGGAAAATTACAACGTTTGAAGCTTTGGAGCTAGTTGTAGAGCTCTTTTCCAACGTCTCTTGGTATATCGTAAAAAATGTTGGTATCTGAAGCACCTTTTTTTTGCAGACTCAGTTGTTTCAATGATCTAAAGCGGAGGGATTGGTTCGTGATGCTTGCCCGTTGGAGGCTGTCCCGTTGGCTCAAGCTTATTTTTTCTTCAGAGCTCTTAGGTTCTTCCAGTGCAGACCTTGGAAAACCAATCGACGCCTTCTAGTGGATCCTTATGAACTAAAACGCAGATCTAGCTTATTTTAACAAATTTTTGAGCTTATTTATGACTATTGTTATTAACTTTTTTAAGAAAAAAAATATGCGAAAATTATCTTGGGATTATCAAGTTTAGTTGATAGTTCTTTCCGTAGAATAGAAGAGTTCCTGCTCGAATACTTTTTTTCAGGAGTAGAAACCCAAGGTGTACTGAGAAAAAAGGTGATCTACAAGAAAGATAATTTTTAACGCTGCGTTGGCGCCCCTTATTACTTTTAGGGGCAGAAGCAGGGTTACAATATACATATTCGTGTACAGTCCTACACCCATATCTTTTCACAAGTACCTTTTTTACCTACAAATGTTTTCATTGATTTCATTTTCACTTTATGAATACTGACGAACACACTCTTGTATACTCTTGGCTATGCTTCTGACGTTCAGTGTTTATACCTCCAAGCTCTGGGGTCCTCCTTTTCTCCAGTAAAGGAATGAAAAAAAAAACTTGTTGCTTTGTATGTGATACACTACAAAAGTGCAAGTTTCAAAAACAGCTAAAAGGTATATATGTTAAAAAATAGAGTAGAAGCTTGTAAAAAAGAAAATAAGAGGTACTAAGTTATTTATGTATTAGCTTGTTAAACAAAAGAATCTTAACACAAAATAAAATAACTTAATCAAAAAGATGTTCATTGATATGTATTTTAAAAAGGGTATAGCATCTTTACAATAGACATAAATGGCCAGTAGTGTAAATGAATATACATACGCACATACAGCTTTACATAAATGCACAGTAATGGTGCATAAGCTACACTCTATAGATTATAAAAGACTGTATAGCTGAAATAGAACTTCAGTACAGCGTATAAACAACGTGTTTCTATTCTCGGTATTGTGTTAATTAACTCTAGAGGTACTGAAGAAAATTTTCTCTTAAGTAATTTCTACTCATGTAAAATAATTTTTAACTGAACAATAGTTTTTTCGTAATCCATAGTTCTTTACACAAAAATTCATAGCTTATTCTTTAGAAGTCAACGTTATGCTTTAAATCGTCTACCACCTCTCTATGTGTACAGTAATTATTTTTCAACTGATAAAACTCACAAAATTGTTATATTTGGCTCCACGTTTATCCTTACAAGGGATTTTGCCATCATTTAATAATTTTAACCTTATGGTTGGTACAAAAACTGAGTATAATTTTTGCAGGTTTGTCATAAGTCTGTTAATATACTATAATTTTTCCTTAAATTTACAATCTTAATCTCACACTCAAAGAAAAATGGAAGTGTCAGACTTAAAACTTGTGGTACTCTCATGTTACGATAATTATTGAACTCTTTTACTACCACATTTGACTGTACCTCATTCAATATTAGAAACGTAGTAATTCAATGTTTCTAGTGGCGCTTTGCTTCCAATTTAGAAGTTAGGTGTGACCAGCTTTGAGCGACAAGCACTTAAACAATATTGAACGCTATAAGCTCTACGGTAGGGGTGCAGAAGCTCGATGTTGGGCGCTCTCAGCTCCCATTATCGAGCTTAGAGAGCTCAACTACTTTCCATGTTGGACTTCAGTCAAGTAATGTAAAATTTAATTGTATAAAAAGAGTATTAGTTTTAGGAAATAGGTTATTAGGTATGTTATAGTTATATGTATAACATATAGTTATACATGTACACTCAATAACCCCTAAGTTGTCTTTTTTAATGGAATGCATGCAAAAGTTTTTTTCACTTAATTTTAAAAAATAACAATACAACAT